ACTTGGATGGTAAAAAGGATGAACGGTAATGAGGACGGGCTCGACCGTGGAAACTTGGCGGCGAGCTCGGCCGGTGGGATCGGCTGGTGGTGCAACGGCGGTGACGGACCAACGGTGCAGAGAAGAGTCCGGCGGTGATTCAGACCATTTCAATTGGGGGATTTTGTGAAATTGGGTGAGGGTTCAACAGTGTTCGTAGTGGGTTTGTGGGGTTGTTTTACGGTGGTTTAATATGAATTATTTGAGTTTTCAACAAAATAGAGAGGATTATGGTTCTATTAGTTGAGGTGGCGGTAACGGTGTTAATAAAAATGGGTGGTGGTGGGTTTGTGACGATGGTAACGGTGTTGACGGAAGTGGGTAGTGGCGGTGACCGTGGTGATGAGGTGGAGAACATCACACCAACTGCAATTCATATTGGGTGTATCAGTAGAATAGTTTGGGTGTACCAGAAAGACGCGAAGAATGAGATGAATAGTATTTGTAAATATATATACGTATATATGTATATAGACAGAAGAAAAAAAGGATGTATTTGGTTGCAACAGTAAATTAAGGGCGTGTTTGGGCTGTATTTTGGTGTAATCCCATAATAAGGGGTAATAGTCATTTCATACTTATAAGGGCATTATGGTCATTAAATCATATATTGTGCTCACCTGGTATTTTAACGGCGAGTTTCAATCAATGCTGTCGTCAAATAGAGTCATTTACAACAAAAATGTATAGTTCGGGGGTTTTTTTGCAATTTTTGTAGTTCAGGGAGGGTTTGTTGCTAATTAGCCAATAGTTCAGGGTTTTTTTTTTTTGTATTTAACCCTAAAATTAAATCTAATTAGACAAGGATATATTTAAAGAAAATAAAATAATTTCTATAAACTTCTATAACAAATTACCTATTTTTTCTAAAACTCTACCACAAATTTACTTTTATTATGAGTTTTTTAATAAAAGAAAATCTAATTAGACAAGTATTATTAATATAAAAAATTATTTATTAATTGATACAAAAACAGGTTTTCAAATATTTTTTTTAAAACTCTAACACAAATTACGTATTTATCTATTTATTATGAGTTTTTTAATAAAAGAAAATATAATTAGACAATAATTATTAATATAAAAAATATTTATTACCGGATATAAAAAGAGTTTTTAAAAGAGTTTCTATTAAACTCTAACACAAATTACCTATTTATTTATTTATTATAAAATATTTATTAATTGATATAAAATGGTTTTTATAAAAATAGTTTATATAAAAGTCTAAAAATTATTTAATAAAATCAATCATAATAAAATATTTATTATTTGTTATAAAATGAATAGTTAATTTTTATGGATAATTATCACAATATAACAAGCCCCGTCCTAAAAACAGAGGCATAGGGGAGGAGGAAGGAGTACATAAATTGAAAATTCTAGAAATCTATAATTCCAGAAAGAAATTCAGAAGGGCATACACCTAGAATTGTAGAGTAAAATATAAAAGTTTTGTCAAAGAGTTTCAGTATTTATTTATTTATATAAAAATATTTATTTATTAATTGATATAAAAAGAGTTTTTATCTATACTATTATTAATTGAGTAAAGAGTTTAATATTTCATTATTTATTTATAAATATATAAAAAAAACTCTATAAAACTCCAAATTTTACTTAATAAAATTCAAATTAACCTATTTATCTATTTATTATTATACATTTTTTAATAAAAGAAAATCTAATTAGACAAGAATTATTAATATAAAAAATATTTATTAATTGATATATAAAATAAAATATGTTTTTCAAAACTCTAGGACAAATTAGTTTTTATTATGAGTTTCTTAATAAAATTAAATCTAATTAGACAGGGATATATTTAAAGAAAATAAAATAATTTCTATAAAACTCTATCACAAATTATCACTTTTATTTTCAACAAAACTCTATCACATTAGACAAAGATACATTTAAAGAGTTTCTATAAAAAAAAACTAACACAAATTACCTATTTATCTATTTATGATGAGTTTTTTTAATAAAATGAAATCTAATTAGACAGTTATTATTAATATAAAAAATTATTTATTAATTGATGTAAAAAGAGGTTTAAAAGAGTTTTTATAAAACTCTATCACAAATTATCTATTTATCTATTTATTACGAGTTTTATAATAAAAGAAAATCTAATTACATAAGAATTATTAATATAAAAAATATTTATTAATTGATATAAAAAGACCTTCTATCAAACTCTAACAAAAATTACCTATTTATTTATTTATTTATTATGAGTTTTTTAATAAAATAAAATATAATTAGAAAGGAATTGTTAATATAAAAATATTTTTTAATTGATATAAAAAATAAAATAATTTTTCTAAAACTCTACCACAAATTAGTTTTTATTATGATTTTTTTTTTTAAATAAAAGGTAATCTAATTAGACAAAAAAATTTAATATATAAAAATATTTATTAATTCATATAAAAAGTGTTTTTTAAAGATTTTCTATAAAACTCTAACACATATTACCTATTTATCTATTTATTATGAGCTTTTTTAATAAAAGAAAATATAATTAGACAATGATATATATATTTAAAGAAAATGAATAATTTATATAAAATTTTACCACAAATTACCTATTTTATTTTCAATGAAACTCTGTCACATTAGACAATGATATATTTAAAGAGTTTCTATAAAACTCTAACACAAATGAACTATTTTATTTTATTTAAAACTCTATCATATATAACCTGTATTTATCTATTTATTATGATTTTATTAATAAAAGAAAATCTAATTAGATAAGGATATATTTAAAGAAAATAAAATAATTTCTATAAAACTAACCACAAATTACCTATTTTATTTTCTTTAAAACTTTATCACATTATACAAGGATATATTTAAAGAAAATATATAATAATACATATAAATAAAATATAAAAGTGTAAAGAATTTCATCATTTCAATATTTATTTTTTAATATAAAAATATTTATTAATTAATATAAAAAGAGAAATCTATCACATATAACCCTGTATTTGTCTATTTATTATGAGTTTTTTAATAAAAGAAAATATAATTTTACAAAGATATATTTAAATAAAATAAAATTATTTGTATAAAACTCTACCACAAATTACCTATTTTATTTTCTTTAAAACTCTATCACATTATAAAGTATATATTTAAAGAAAATAAAATATAACCTAGGGTCTTCCAAAAAATCACAAACTCTATACAATAAATTTTTATATCAATTTAAATCTAATGTATGATTAGTATAATTGAATTTCTATTTCAAAATTTAATTCAAAATTAATATAATTGAATTTCTATTGTAAATTAAAAATTATACTAAATTTTAAATTTTCTAATAAAATTGAAATTACAAATTGCCTAATAAAATTTAAATTACCTAAAAGAATTTATTACTATAGAAAACTCAAATATTTCATTATTAAAATAAAAAAAATAAATTATTAATTAATTAAAAATTAAAATATAAATATTTTAGTATTAATATAAAAACGTAAAAGAATTTATTAATTTACAAAAACTCAAACTCTACCACCAATTTCAAAATATTTTAGTATTTATTTATTAATATAAAAAGATATTTATTAATTAATATATAAAAAGTTACAAAAATTACTATTTTTTGTAAGGTTTATTATTACAAGCTTCAAATGAACAATTAGAAAAAAAAATATATGAAAACAAAAATTAGAGAAGTTACAAAACATTCATCAAGTTACAAAATATTCATCACATGTATCGCACGTGCTTTTTCCTAGTGTACATATATAGCCATGCAAATTGTTACACACTAGTTTTTATCAAATTTTAATCTAATAGGAAAACAATAATAAATTAGAGGAGTTAGAATCATAAAGGGTGCCATAATTGCAAAAGAGTCTCGCGCATAGGAAACGGGAAATTGAACCAAATATAAAATTTTACGAAATGTTAAAAAGAATTTGATTAAGTCGTGTGTAATGAATGGGCACTTGCCCATTGATTCAAAAGCTCAAGTTATTGGGATGGTTCTGCATACCTACTCATTTATACCCATGTCACTTTTCATCTAGATCCGATGTGGGACAAGTCTCCCCTTGTAATATTCTCTCCTATTTGAACTCAGGCAATGCTTTCTTTGTGGTCGAACCACCTTGCCTACCCAGGGTGAAGACCCAGACGCCCTCCGAGCCAAGCACTTAGCGTGACACCAGATCAAGAATTGCGTCTGGCTCAGATACCAACGGTAACGAGTGGGTGCTTGCCCTTATACCAAAAAACTCAAACTATTGAGTAGTGCTGCATACCAACCAATTTATACCCATGTCACTTTCTATCAAAATCCTTCCCTTGTAACATCATGCCTTTATATGGAGGGTAATTATAATATTAAAAATATAAAAATTAAAATTAGTATGATTTAGAGATTCTTTTGTAATTTCATTTTAAGAGATAAGGAAATATAATGCTAGATAATAATTGTGGAGCACAAATATCAGCTCCTTATTTTTATAAGTAAATAGACTATTAATAATTTATATATTTTTTAAAATATTTTACAAAACTTGTATTGCAATATTTCAAAGTGTCATTTGCCCAAACATAGCTCAAGTATTAATTGAATGAGGCCTTATGTCATGATATATATATATATAAATGAGGAATATTATTTAGACCTATTCCGTACGTAGGGGTGTAGTTAAAGGGATTTTTATACATGTAGTGGGCTCCACGCTTAGATTTATTCGTTACATTGAGAATATATTATTTAAAATTATTACTATGGAGGAGACAAACTCACAATTCCTTAAACAATTTGTTTTAGGAAATCGATTAAAATATAATTATTCATATTGTATTGAATTTGTCACGAATAGGGTAATAACATAATAAAATTTTAATTTATATTAATTAATTAATTAATTTACAATGATAGAGGACAATGTTGAGATTTAACCCAATTCCTTAACAGGACAATTCTGAAATCAAACCTTTATCTAGTCTCTTCTCACATTCTCACCGAGTCCCGCTCTTCATTGAACCAGAACCTTGAGAATGAAGTCCTCAGTTCACCGAGTCCGTGATCCGAGTCCAAGACGAAGATAACAATATATTGATTCCATCGATCACTTCAACTTGTCCGCACTAACTTGGTGAGTTTTTCTAAAATTTATCATTAGGTCAATACTGTATACAACAACAACAACAAGTCTTTCATTGGCTTATTTTTACATTCTTATTTTATGAAAACTCTTTTCTTAACTCATACTGTAATGCCCAAAGCTAGTTATTTGGTGATGACATACGAGCAAGTGAGCAACCCTGAAGCCCAGCCAGTTGTCTGGTGATGACAGAATATAAAGTGGGTCTTTTCCTTCCAATACTCGCATAGTTACATAGGCCATAGACCGAGGAATGCATTTTTGTGTGTATATATATGCACGTCAAATAGGTACATATCTTGTTTGTCAATTTGCATTGCCAAAAAAAAAGAGGAGTTGCCAATTGATATAGTATGGATTCATGTTATGGTAAATTTGACTGGATCAAAATTATAGCGCAATTTTTTATTTTTACAAGAATATTGTTGAGTCTCATTCTGTTATTCTTTTGATCATTTGGGTTTCGTTTAGTATTTGACATATACCACATTTTTTTTTTGGCTATGCATTGATGATTTTTTCCATTTAACAATGATCTACTTCTTTGAAGGTGTAAGTAGCTGCATAAAATTTAGGCGAGTGTGAAATGATTTTGGTTATTTTGTAGTTATCTGATTTAGGAAATGCATTCATCATTTGGTGAGTTCCAAAATTTTCTTTTATGATATATGATTGGTTTTTTGAAGTTTCTGGGTGTAAACCCGTGCTTGATATGTTAGGAAGTCTAAAACTACTGTGCAAAGCAATAATTTTAAATAAGTAAGATGACTTGGAATTATGAAGGACCAACCCAGTTGTTAAAAAAGTAATAAAGAATAACTGTTGGGAGAGATGTATGATTTGAAGGAGATATTGAACGGATTTAGTTTCTTTCTGACTTCACGTCGTCGCATAGACGGTTTTATGTATGTCAGTGTGGAAGTTTGGTCACTATAAAATGTAATAATCAGTTGCCAAATGAAATTTTCTCGCGCTTACAAAAATCTTTTGCATTCCCTAAATATGGTAATTGGAATTATTTAGAGCTGCAATTGTAAGGAGCTGATGCTGAACCAGCCCAGGAAATTGCCGAAGTAGGGCTAACATGGGAATAGGTTGGTTAGATTTTTTTTTAGATGATTATTAGGCCAACCATGATTTATGATTCATTTAGAATTTTGGAGAGGGAAAATGAAGACAATTGAGATATCAAATTGGAATTCCTGATGGACACTCCTGACTAATTTAGTTTGAATTTGGCTGTTCGAAGTTCCATTACATAATATATAAGGGATTTACTAATGTAATTATTGGTTCTTGGTATATATCTAGGAAAAAAAAAAACATTATACTTTGCAGTCATTCTAGATTTCTTAGTTAATTGTATATGGGATCAAAGCTGTATATGGGTTATGGAGGTTTGCTCATTCCTTGGAAAAATGAACTAATGATTAGGGTCAGTGTCCGTAGGGTCATAGTTCTCTCACATGTTATCTTCTTCTATTTTTTAATTTATTGGTGCAAAAGAGTGTATTGTGTTATTTATATCAAGAGTACATTTATTTTTTATTTATTTTTGATTAACTTTAAACATATTGTCATGAAAAAGGCCAGATCAAATTTCTGTGTAAATACTATAATAAATGTTTGGGATCTCTCCTTTTGCTTTATCTATTTATTTTTTGTTGTGTGGATCAATTGGAAATGTTGCCAAATAATTCTTAACAAAGAACTAAATGATATTGTTCCCGGGAATAATAACCCTACACTTTTTTGATGCATTCCTTTTTGCATCAAAGATATCCTTTTGAAAAACCTTTGTTGAGAAGATAACAAAAAATCATTGAAAAAGCTTTGTGAGATAGAGTGTTTTTTGAAGAATAACTGTACAACATACCCTTACTTGTGCTGCACACCCTTCAAGCTAAAAAAGAAGACCAATTAGACAAAAAAATTTAACTGTAGATACGCAAGCTTGAATCCAGTATCTCTAATCTATCCAAGAGCCATATGCTTCATCAAGTACTGTAGGAAAGTCCAGTTGGCATGATCTTATGCATTTTTAAAACCGATCTTATATATCACTCTAGGCTCCTCACTCCTTTGCATAGACTTCACATATTTTTGGCCACAAGAATTGCATCCAAGATCTGTGAACCACCCAGAAAGATATTTTGGGACTCAAACAAACCCACTCCATGACCCCAAGACCTGAGCAATAAAAGCCTTGGACATGCTATCGAGACCTGGGGCCTTGTCCCCATCATAATTCCTTAAAGCCTCCCAGATCTCTTCCTTGGTTGAACATTTTTTTCTTCCAAAAGCTCCATATTTTCAACTGAGATAATAATAAATTCTAAGACCTCAAGCCTAAGCCTTGAACTTGCATTCATAGAATTGGAAGCCCGAGCTTTGGCTATTACACAGAGCAATTAGATATTTTCTTTTGTTGGGATAAGTAATTACTGATTTTCAACTGCCAGAGCTGATTTGGCTTAAAGTGTAGACGTGTCACACTCCTATATTGCTTGAAGTTTTTTATTCAACCTTGTTGTGTAAACCATTAACTTTCCCTGGAGAATTGACTTTGATGTGTCAATTGCCAGTATTTGGGCCGTGTTCTCCAAGACCTCAAAGTATGCCCAACCCAGCTTTGGGTTAGGTCTTCAAGCTCAATCTTTAAGTTTACAAAGTATACATTTACCAGGCTGAGAATTGTTGTGTTTCTGCCTGCCTAAGTTATGGCTATAGCTTCTTATACTGTTAGGTTTATTGTACTCTGTTACTTTGCAGTCCTCCTAATATTATATGGATTTCATGGTGTTATATTCTACGTTATTGTTTATTTTGTTTCCACCGATGGTATGATATTTATTCTCTTCTGTTTTGACCTTTCAGGTTGAGAACAATGTTGTCAAAGGCGCACCTAGGTGTGCGCCTTGGCTCCAGGCACAACACTTGCACTTGTTGTGTGCCCAGGTGCGCCTTTGACAATATTTGCGCCTTTAATATGGAATATGAATGTGGTTCAATATTAATTTAATTTTTCCATTGTGCGCCTCGCTTCACTTAGGTGTGGGCCTCACCTTGCGCCTTATGCCTAGGCTCCAAAGGACCTAGACCTTAGTGTGCCTTGGGCCTTTGATAACACTGGTTGAGAATAACATCAATGATACAAGGGTTCAAGTTTTTTGAGAAAAAAAAGACTTTAAGGAATAAAACTTATAATGGTTTCTAGAATAAGTTGTCTGGTTATATCCGTACCAAGATTTTAGGTGATAATATATAGGAATAGAAGATATGATTTATTGGACATATGCTTCTTGAATCTTTAAGATGGAACTAACATTAGACTTCATTGTAAGAAGTGATGATAATGTCTTTTTTTTTTTCAAGAAATCCCTTCACTAGTTTGTTTATGCAAATTGTATGATAATTTCTAGAGAGGGAAGTAATAGAGATATTAGAAATATTTTTTTGATAGATTTGGTTCCAAACAATCCCAACAGTTTGTAGAACTCCTTTGTGACTTATTTGCGATACTTGTATATAATAGTTTTTACAATTTAGGATAGTGTTTTAAAGACTTGTAAACATCCACAACCCTGATGGGAGCATGCTGACGAGAAAAAGTGAAATTTTGGAATTTTTACTTGGATCCTGCATGGAACCTAACAAAATCGTGTTCTGGTTGGAGCAAATTTAAATTTATGTTAAAACTTATTGTTGCTTCTAGTTTAATTTTATTTATGTTTTCTTTTGTCTTATTACGCCAAATGTATTTTCCGAACTTCATGTTTTTTATTGCATTTAATTTTTTTATTTAATTTTTTTTTTTTTTTTTTTGTCAATGTTAAGAATCAAACCCTTAATTGCACTCTCCCTTTTAGCTGTGATGCCAACAACTTTGTGCCATTGTGCTACTAAGTTTTGGAATGTTTTGAATTTAATGTTATGTTGGCCAAGACATGGTTTTTTTTTAATCAATGGTTCTTTATCTGTCTCCATAAGTGGGATTAGGTTATTACTGGTGAAAGTTCCTAAAGTTCTAGTTTTAAGTTCCAAGTCCTGAAAAGAGGCGATTAACAACCTTATCATACCTATGTACTAGTTGAAATCAAGATTAGTTGACTTACCACACCAAAGAAAAAAAAAAAAAATAAAATAAAATAAAATAAGAAACAAAGATGCTGTTTTTCACCAAATCCTCTGGGTATTCACTTCTATTACTTATTCATTAAGATTGTAATTTTTGTTTTAATTTAGAAAGGATGTTACTTATCTGTCATCATTTTTTTTTTTTCCAGTAAATTTATCTATCATCCTGTTTTGTAAACCATATTACCTACATTACCATAAAAAAGGAAACAATTATAGAAATATAAAATTCTGTTAAATAATATGGGGTCGCTAATAATTTGACTAGAAAAAGAATATGAGGTAGCAAGAAATAATGCTGCTAGTTTTTGTCAGGATTTCTATGCACCTCATCTTTTTGGACTTATAGGTTTCAGTACTATTCTCCTGTCGAAATTAAGGTTCTGCCCTGTAGCACCACGGAAACTTCATTAGATAGTTGAAGTGAGGAAGGTTGTTTGCTTGAGGGTGTAGTAGATAAATTCCAGATCAACCATTATGGATATCTTTATCTCTATCTTCATGCCTTTGACACTTGGTTCCTTCATAGTCTGGTTTGTATGTGTGAGCACATACCTAAAGACCAATAACTGTATTAAAGAGGAAGAGTGATATGATCCTCATTGATGATACTGACAAGAAATGGGAAACAAATTTAGCAGGAATTGTGATAGTAAGGGAAAATAATAGCGTGTTGTTTAACTGAAGGTATAGCCTTAGTATAGCAAATTGACGAAACAGAATTCATATAGTAGACCCCAAGTGATGGGGAGACCTTGTTGAATTTAATTGAGTTTTTTATGGTTCTAATGCTTCTTGTAATCTATGTGAAATAGTATACTAGAGGAACATTATGAAGATTAACTTGGTTGGAGTGCAATTTGAGGCCTGAGTTGATTCAGCTCTGCTTATTTGCTATTTCTGTGATGTCTTCACTTTTGTTGTTTCTAGAACAAAATGACACGAGTGATTACAAAGGGAACACGTTACTAATCCTGTTGATAACTTTTGGCTTTCATGAACTGAATTAATTCTTGGGTTATCAATTAATTGCTTTCTTCATTGCCAAGGACAGATGATTGAAGTCTGGTCAATGCTGGGTGCAATGGTGAAAGGTCAAGGTGACAGGCATGAGGCTGTGGGTTTGAGTCTAAAAACAGCCAGTTTGTGCAAAATTATGCCGAATGTTTGAAGCAATTGAAGAACTCTGAATAGTGCCACTATTGTCACAATGAAAAGGTGGTCGGTGTACTATATCCACTATTTTCCTCCCCACCGTCCTGCTTAGGAGGGCCATGGACTGGGTAATGCACTTCAATTTTAATTTTAAATTAGCTGGAAGGTGACAACATTGGGTAATTCAAGGTTATGGCAATTTGACAGCGTTTATGCGGATAGGTGCCAGTGCTGCTCCTGCAGCATTTTGCTCCACAGCAATCAATTTCTCCCTTGTTATAACTTGGGTTTCAATGCAGTAATGAGGATTCACTTCAAGGCGGCGTTGCTCGTGTTCTACAAACTAAACTCCAAATGTTTATTTTTTGTACGTATGAATCTTAGCAACTAGATTAATCGACATTATAAATGTAGACTTGTAGTGTCTTAGAAACTAGAAAATTTTGTGAGATTTTTAGCTCTTTGTGAGACTATCTCTATGCTTGTGGTCAACACTAAGTAGGGGTGGGACTTGGGTGGTCTAACTCGAGCAACCCGAGTCCCGTCTGAAAATTTTACGACCATGGGCAAGGTATTTGAGATCATGAGATTGGGATCGAGTTTAATTCTTAGGCCATGTTTGGTGTGAGTGAATGGAATCAAATGAAGCGGGAGTAGAATGCTTTTGTTTCCATTCTTTAGTTTGGTAACTAATTTTAAAATTGGAATGATGATTCCTGACCATTCTCTGAGAATGATGATTTTCACTAATTCATTTCACTTTCTAACTAAAAGAATGGCCATTTCATTCCCACTTTTTAAAATTTGTATATAGAATAAAAAAACACATTTGATGAAACATACAGTCATTGTCAAAACGGTGGCTATGTTCTTCCCCTCTCTCTGTCCACCGGAGAACTATGATTGGTTTTTGGTCTCATAGCGGTGAAGTTTCTGATCCTTCTGATCAGCGAACTCACCGCCGATTTTGACTGGCAAGATCACGGTGCCGTCACTGGTGTTAAAGACCAGGTGTCCTCAGGACACGTCGATTTCGGATTGATTTAGGTAAGAGAAGCTCTTAACCCACCAGACGATTTAGGATTTAGGATTTTGGATTGACCAGGTTTCCTATGTACACGTTAATTTTGGGTTGATTTATAATTGATTTAGGAGAGAAGCTCTTAACCCACCAGACCCTCCTCTTCACCAGACGATACATTGATTTCGAACCCTAGGGTTTGTGCAATTTTGTGAAGGAATTTGGATTGATTTGTGTGGCTTCGTGGATCGCGAGTTCACGACTTAGATGGTTGCTCCTTTATTTGTTCTTCTCTTCTGTCCGGCGATAGTTGTGGTTGTGGTGGTGATGACCGACTACACACACACACACATATGAATATGGGTTTTACAAAAATAGGATGGTTGGCGGTGGTGGGTGAGATTTGACAAGCATTTTTAGAGAGAAAAAGAAGACTTGAGAGAGGTTTTTCTTTGCAACTAAACATTCCATTCTTTGATTCATTCCATTTCCCATTTATTTCATTCAACCACACCAAACTAGTCCTTAGAGTCTGAATATGTTTTGGGTGGGAATTGGGCAAAGGTTTTACTAGCCCGAGAAATTATTTTATTTTGATGGCTACGTTTTATTCATATAAATTAAAATTAAGGTTGAAAATGGATGATTTATCTTTAGTGGCATGATATTCTTAGTAGTTATTAAATTAAGTTGTGACACAGTTGCTTTAAAAGTTTAAAGTAAAATTATCATAACTGATGTTAAGTTAAATTATAAAAAAATAATTAAGAGTGTAAAGTTTTGAGTCCTTTCTAAATTCTAATGTGAAGGAACATGATTGAATCTCGAACCTGTAGTTTTAGTAATTAATGCACATACTTTACATTTTCCTTTTTGTAACTTTCTATTTTTTAGTAGGTTACTAAAATTTTGGACAACCCGAGAAAATTGAAAACCCCGTGAAACTTGTACAATATATCTCGGGTTGAGATGTTGTGGGCTTCTCAGGGCTTGAGCTTGGCGCAGGCTCCTTGGCCCTCCCAACACGTTGGAGTCCCACCTCTACACTAAAGTATCAGTCTTTAGTTTGCTATCATCCTTCTGAGAGTTGGATGACATGTGCAGAGTGCAGTTAATTGGTATATACAGAAACTACTTCACCAAAAGTGAATTTTCACCATACTAGTAGTGTCCAAATCTCCGTTGTTGGCATTTTTCATGGAAAGTAGTTTACAGTGAAACAGGTCTTTGTCTTTATGTACTGGCTTTCTTTTTAAAAGATTGCCAAATGTAACATTATTTAGCTGCGTCAGGCATGTGGTGGTTATATTGACACATTCCTTGAGATTGAGAATTTAAATTGTCATCAGGTGACGAAATCAATTACATGTAATCGGAGAACATAGGAGTTGAGAGGTCGAAACTTTCTCCCATACCATAGAGGCCAAAAGCCATGGGCGGATTTATAAGTTCTCGTTTTTGATTGACCGGGGATATGACTTCAGAAGGACTCAACTGGAGTTGATGGATCCATGTAGCAGGTCTGAGTAGTTGGGACTAAGGCTTAACGTGTTAACTATAAAAAAGAAGAATCATAAATAAAACATAAAGAAAAAAAATGAGCCATTTGAACAATCATATATAGCGGATACTCTTACCATTTGGAGTCTTGCTATTTTCATTAACTCAAAATGTGATCAGATTCTTTCTACCAATTTTTTATTGATGTGTTTCTTACAGACAGGTTGACTCAATATCAGATGAAGCAGTTGGGCATCCTAAATATTTTATGCTTCTGGTGAGTTCTCATAAATTTGGTTGTAGCATTTATCAGAATTCGGAGGTCCTGCCCAATATTAATTTAGCCGTGGCGTTGTATCCTTTAGCATTTGGCATGCTGCTAAATATCTTTTTATTAGAAAGGCTTCAAGAACTTTATGCCTGTAACTGTATTGTACTTGTCAAATCTTATATCTTTTGTTCCTCTGTTATTGGAAAATACTGTTAGTTGCCAAGTACAGGTAATCAAATTCTTATTATCAACTTCTTGTTTTATGGTAGAGGGAAGCATTGTTGCAAAACACATGCAGTGTGGGCTCAGCTCTGTGTAGATGTTTTAGGTGCGTGCTGTCTTTGGACGTCCAAGTATCTCCCAACTGATCTCTTACAATGTCTGGGATTCTAATATCATATGGTCAATTTGTAAATATGTTATATTCCGTACTTTTGGACTTATTTACAGTGCCACGTTATTGTCACTAACTTTATGAACATGAATTGTCATGATTTACTTTCAGAATTTTCTCGGGAATTGTTTTTTTTTTTTTAAGAATAAAAGCAAATATGCATCTAGCTTTAAATCTTTCCTTGGTTGGTTGCTTTGTCAATATATACTGCAGGTCTTTTTATATCTTTTTACTCTAAAATTTACAGTAACGAAAGGAAAAACAAATGCAGTTAACTGCCGCCCCAATATTAGTCTGTTGAAACAGCTTGCCGAAGGTCTATGAACGATTTGCAAATGGTGTCACAGAGAGAGACCTGAAATTTGTATAAATTTGAAAATGCCTGAACCATGGTGTTGAAACTCTTTTTGGTGGCTGAGTGAAATTTAACGTTAACCATCCCAAAAACTTTTCTATTCGAAGTGCTTCATTCCTTAAAGAAAGGACTTTAAAGAACCACCATGGGAGACATTTTCAACAATTTCAGTTAAGAAATTTTAAATAGATTTCTTATAAGGAATATTCTCGGAACCCAAAAAACAAAAAAAAAAAAAAATAAATAAATAAAATAATTTGCTGAAGAAAAAAACGAAGGATAATGATTGTCCATTTAGCATAAATTGACATGTTTCAAGGCTTGCACATCACCAGTACAACAGCATAAACATTTCTAAATGGGTGTCAACAAGGGGATTCAGGAATAGAGCACAGAAGAATGATACTAGACTATTTGGGGGATTCTTCTAAACAATTAGATAGGCCAACTGTATGTACACTCCATGAGAATAACATAACAGAAACCAAAAAAAAAAAAAGAAAAGAAAAAAAAGGGAAATAATCTTGCCTAAAAATTTGAGTGAATCAATGGAATCCCCTTGAACCTCTGGATTGATAGACCGCCAAACTGTCTTTGGCCTTCTGTAACAAAATGTCAATGGTCTCGTCTTGGATGAATGGTCCTTGCTTGGATGCCCATTCAAGCACGGTGAGTACCTCGGCTTGGGCGAGTTCTTTGCTTTCTGGGACATGTATTGCAATGTAGCAGAGCAGAACCAGTGCAGGGCTTTGAACAATCTGTTCTCCGAAGTACACAAGCTGTATTAGGTGCTTTGCCCCTCCTGCGATTATTATGGCCTTGGAGTGATCAAGATGGAGATAGTTGTCTGTGCAGGCAAACTTGGCGAGAGCAATGGAAGCTTCTCTAGAAACCTCGGCTTCTCGCTCATCAAGCAACCGTACTAATGGGCTTATCATCCTTGTCTCCGTGGCTCGAAATGTCCTTGCCAAATTCCCAATAGCCATGATGCATGGGATAAGCAGTTCTGAATCTGCCTTTTCGATGATTATTAGTAATTGATCAACAACAGCTTTGCAAGCGGGTGAATTGGGCTTGAATGCTGATCTTCTCAGCTCAGCATCTTGCTCTGCCACTGCTGTCACCTCCATTAACGCCATGGCAGAGTTGTACTGAACATCTTCACGGCCTTTTCCTAGGAGGACCGCAAAGCACAATAGAGCTCTTGATTCTGTGATGCTACGGCAAATGGGAGAATTCTCCTTGGCAAGGCGCCAAAGGGCTCTTGCAGCCATTGCTTTCATATATGCCTTGGTTTCTGGTTCCTCGAGTTCCCTCCCTTTGACGCTAGTCCCGGAGAATGGAAAATTCTGCTGATAGCTTTGAAGACTCTGCTTCGCGGCGTTGTTGTTGTTGTTGTTGTTGTTGTGATTTTCCCCATTACTCTGAGGTGGCTTGGATTGACCTTTCAATGCCATGGTACTAGTAACCACATTGTGCATCTGACTGGGTTGCTTATTCCCAGTGGGATGTGGGATTTGAATATGCTTTTCATCATCATCAATAATACAAATGTTTGCATTCGAATTATTACTTGCCATAACAACAGCATGAATTGATGTTGCTTTGTTGCTGATAATGGCATACTTGCTATGTTCTTGAACTGTCTCAAATGCTAGATGACCCACGAGCAATCGAATTATATTGTGTTGGGCGAACAGGTCTTGACAGTTTGGGTGATGGGCTACGAGCTCGGACACTGCCCAGGCCACCACTGCCTGAACTTTCATCGGACCTTCTTTGAGGATTTTCGCAAACACTGAACACACACCAGCATGAATAATGTGTTCGACGCTTTCAGGGTCACGTCCCAGAAGCCCAATTGCTTTAGCAGCGTTCTCCTGACCCTCCATCTTCCCTTCCTTCACCAATTTCAGCAGTGGCACGATGCCGTCTTCTTCGATGATCAGCTTCCCGTACCGATCATTGTCCCGGGCAAGCGAGACCAGAGAAGCTGCAGCATCACATCGATCATCCAGTGACCCAGTATACAGAATCCCGATCTGTTCCCATATGAGGCACAGAATTGGCTCGTTTGTGGCTATGGGAGGGAGTCCCACATACTCATCGCCCCGATCAATCCGGTCATTGGCCGAGCCGGAGACTTGGAGCAACCAAGAGACGTCTCCGACGGAGTTCTCGAGCTGGGATGACATCTTGCGGAAATTAGCAGTAGGAATGATTGTGAACACCCGCTTAACGAGGCCGTGGTTTCGGCACTTCTGGATGAGCGCGAGGGCCTTTTCTAGGACCTGCTCGGTGTCATCGATGATGCGGCGAGCAGGGCGCTCGTAGAGGTCATTGCTGCGGTGTGCAGCGTCGCGGAGGAGTCCGCCCAATTTCTCGGCCTTGGCCTTCAGCTCAGCGCAGTCCTGCTTGAACGAACAGGCCTCGTCTGCGGCCTTGCCCACCTCGACCGTTATGTGGATCGGCTTTACCAATATTTTCTTCACTATGTCACCCATTACCTCCAAGGATTTGCAGATCAGATCACCCAATTCAAGAAAACTGCAAGTGGGTGTCTCTGATCTGATACAGATGACAATCAATAATAATTTGGAAGCTTAGCCGGCGATGATCTGATAATTGTTGGGCGGGTGTGTTTTTTTGGTGTCTCAAATGGGTCACAGCTTGTGCGTTGCAGAGAGAGAAAGATGATATATAGACTATAGAGAGAGAGAGAGAGATGGGGGATTATTGGTAATTGGTGTTTGATTACAGTAGTAAGTATATATGATGTATAGAAATGGTAGTGAAGAGGTGAGGTAGGTTAAGGTCTGATCAGACTTAGAGAGTCGAGGACGGGTTTTACAAGGTCAAACACGTTTTTTTCTTTTTCTTTTTCTTTTTCTTTTTTTTTTTTTCTTCTTTTTTTTTTTTTTTTTTTTCTGAATTTGAGTATTGTATATAACCACCATTGCTTTGGTTGCTTTTATAGCCATTTGCTTTCTTGAGTTATCAGAGTTGTCTTGTTATTCTTGCTTTGCTTTATTTTGTTTTTAATGGGGTAATAAATATAAACATTAGTTTAATAGTAACTGATATTGGTTGTCATCCTAACCACCTCTCTGGCAGAGAACAACATGGGGCTGTCCCACAGCTTCTAGTGACCTACAAGGGACTTCTATTGTTTTTGTTGGGGGACACGTTTGCAGTTTAGGTCTACATCTAACATTGGGGATGCATTTGTATTATAAGCATATATTATATTAGTATTTAAGTATTTATACAAATAATAATAATAATAATATATAGATGGGTTCCCAATATTGTCTGCTCCAATCTTTTTTATTACATTCATTTGGTCTCTCTTTTTTACCTTCAGTGGGTACTAGCCTACTCTTATTGCAATGAGTTACCTAACAGAAAGTTTTTGATTTTTTATTTATGCACAACACAGGTAAGTAAAGAATTATACTCTCTCATTTATTGCATAGATGAATCAATTAAAATAAGTAAGTCGAATAATTCACTGTAACAAATTGTTGTAAGAATCATTGATTCTTGTAACGATTTGTTACAATGATTTGCTCGACCTACTTATTTTAATTGGTTCATCTATACAATAAATAAGAGAGTGGGCCTTTCACTTATTTATATTGTGCATAAATAATCAATCAGAAACTTTTGATTAGATAATTCACTGTGACAAATCGGTATAAGAATCACTACTATGTATATATAGTTTTCAATGGTGATTTTGTATGCAAAAATTAATGTTGACCTTCCAAAATTTTCTAAAATTTCCATTTGTAGTTACCTATCCATGGTAATTGAATGTGGTTTGTTAAGGAAATACTTGTGATCATTTCAAAGTCTTTAATATTGTTTTAAATTTTCAAATCTAATAATAATAATAATAAAAGTGTTAGCAATTCTTTACTGCCCTAACCCTATCTTCAAACTTAACTACTCAACTCGAGCCCAACCTATTCTTTTACTTTAAAATTCAAGCTTGCAACTCGATGTAAGATTCCGGATTAAAACTTCGGTAATTCAGGTTACTCATATAACTAATCTTTATACCGAAAATTTAATATGATCTTAAATTAGTTTTATATTAAATTACTCTCAAACAAGAAGAAATTAAAAGACTTAGATTTTTAATAAATTAAGTTAAGATTTAACAAAAAAAAGTTGAAAAAAAAAGTAATCAAAATTTAAATATTATATATAATATATTTAAAAGTAAAAATATATATGAAAATAATATTAGAATTTGAGTTCAGGTTGGCTCGGGTTGCTAGCATTTCAACTTAAATCCAACCCTAATTAAATTCGGGTTGAAATTTTTTAACCTAAGTCTAACCCTAATTGTAAAAATGATTGTTCAAGCCCGAAAAAATCGGGTTAGGTTCAAGTTACTCAACCTAAGTTGCACCCATACATATAGTTACACGTACAAAAATTATTTTTTATGATTTAAAAAGAGAAAAAAAAAAAAAAAAAAAGAATGGGGGACAATTGACAAGTTCATTTATTTTAAAAACTCGTTCTCTCTTTGTTATTTATTTATTTATAGATATGCTCTAAAAAATATGCATTAAAAATGCACCAAAAAAAAAGAAAAATATTCGTTACACCAACATCAATTATGGAATAGTACCAATAGAAATTTGTCCGTCCGACTTGGTGACAGTGATACGTTTACTTGAATATATCCAAATTCAATCTTTTAGCCTATAACATTAGGTTATAATATTTTATGAAAAATAAATAAATTCTGTCTAAAGAGTGGACAGCCCTATTGCCGTAGTGCATTTAGTGATATGATGCCACTACAATTCTAATATATATATATATATATATATATATATATATATAAAATTCTATATGTTTATTTATTTACTGCGTCAAAATTACCCTTGTACCATTATTGAAATGCAAGCTCCTCCCCAACTATGGGACACTTAGGCTCCATTTATTTAGACGTAAAATATTTTTTTTAAAATTAAATTTTTTTATTTTTTTATTGTTGAGTTGTCGTAAATTATTTACGAAGAAAAAAAATATTAAAATTTAACAAAAATAATTTATTTATTAATTTTCGACAAGTTATTTTACATGCCCCATTCAATGGACTCGACCTTAACCTCAACGTATACCTTTGTCAAACATCTATAAAATAAAAATAAAAAAATATTTTATTTAAAAAAAATATATTTTTCAAAAAAAAATATTTTCCGTCAAAACAAACGGAGCCTTAAATCTAAAAATTTTCAAAGCATTCGTATTTTCTATATACAACACTATAAATTTTAAACATTAATAAAAATATGGTTAAAAAACTTATGATCATTTCAAAGTCTTTAATATTGCTTTTAAATTTTCAAATCTAATAATAATAATAAAAAGTGTTAGCAATTCTTTGCTACAACATATTATTACTATGTTTATATATATACATATAGATAGGGCTACAGTTCGGGTGGGTTTGAGGTATAACTTGAGTCCAACCCACAATATGAAATGTTAAGCCCAATCCTAACTCTAACCCTATTATCAACCTTAACTACTGTAACACCCCCACATTTTTCACGCATAAGTTGATCAGGCTTATACACGAAAAACGAGGGATATCAAAAACAATTGGCAATATACAAGCATGGAATACAAAGTGATGGAAATAAAAGAATTTAGACAGGAAAGAAACATTAAATAATACAACATCCATCCATCCTTTATTTAAATACAGTACTCCATTACAACTTGGAAATCCTATATCAAGGATCCCTAAATATAAACCTAAGAGTTCAACGTCAAAAGTAAATAAAAACTGAAAATGAAGTAATACATAAAACTTCTACCCTGAACTGGATCGTAAGAGTAGATGAGTTCAGATGGTGGTCCCACACTGCTAACCTCAACCTTGAAATGGATACTGACCGTATCCTGAAATAACAACAATGGTGGGCCAACCCCACGAACAAGTCCTCTCTACTATGACCCAAATCAGAGAATCAAATAAATTAATCATTATGAATCGGTTGAGTACTATATCTGTATACATCCTAAGGGAACTATCCAATGTATAACATAACCTCAACCAGAATAGACGGTGATCACTTAGACTCACACTAGGTGGTTAAGTGTCGCCTTTCCCTACCCGGGAAATCAGCTATTATACATGGTGCACGGTACTGACAACACAGACTATAACGAACTACACAGTGTTAACACCTCTCAAAGTACTGATGAATATACTGAGCATACAAATTAGGCAACACATGCCAGCAATATTAATAAATATACCGAGTATGTCAATTAGGCAACACATGCCAATAATATCAAACCACATACCCCGACAGCCACACATCTGTCTATCGCAACGAATGCATAAGGTATAAATGAGTCTAAACTTATTAGCCGGCTCATATGGTTCTATATGGCAACACATCCATATAATATAAATGCGACATAATTAAACAGTCCATTTATTACCTGAAATGCACACAGCATAATAATCATGGTTTATATATCATTTAACAGTATAAACATCCCATAAAATATCATGGATAATTTATCTGAAACACTATTTATATTTAGCAATGTCGTTAAATAAATCACATTAGTATCCGTACTGTAAACGAGCCAATAAATGCTTAGAAAAGATTAATCGGCCATAAGAATAAGTAACGGGTGTTAAAATAATAATTTCGTGGCCCGTTAAACCCGTAAATACCAACACAGTACCTAAAAATCCAAGTTTAAGGTTCTGGAATTTACAAAACAGTCCCTAGGGGTATTCTGGACTTTTCCAGTAGCTGTAGGGGTCCCTCACGCGCCTCCCAGAGCTCCCCACACGCGCCGCCAAGCTTTCCCACTCTCCCACGCGCCTCCACGCGCGTCTGGCATCAGCCACGCGCGCGCACGCGCTCCCACGAGCGTCTGGAGCGTTCCACGCGCGCACTAATGGTAACTTGCTGACGTGGCGGCTCCTGATTCGGTGGTTGCATCATCCTACTATGGGTGCGCTACACTGAATCATCTCACCTTCTCATCACTCAATCCTGTGCTCATGGATCGGGGTGTACCGCGGTAGCATGGACCGCGATGCACCGGATCAATCAGACTCTACCAATGGCCAGGATGCACGCGCGCACTAACCTACCATGCGCCGCATCACACCGGATCACTCCGGTCATCTTCTTCACTGCCGGTGGCCGGAATCCTCGCCGGAAATTGCAGAAAAGCCCCGGAAAGATCTAAAAAATTCTAGAAAAATCCCTAAAGCCTTATTTAATTATTTTCAGCTATATTTTAATTACATAGGCTAATAAATAAATAACTAACTTCTTTAATAATTAAAACACATTATTTTAATAAACTAAAAATAATTTATTGAAACTCCTAGCATGGTTTCTAGTCTCTAAAAAATCCGAAATAAATTAAATGAATAATTTATGGATTCAAAGGGGAAAAATAGATAATAACTTGCCTTATGGATTTAAAATAAATCCGCCGATTGCGCGTAGTCGGGTAAAATCGCCTACACCGGTCCAAGCTTCTTTCTCTCTCTCTTTTCCTTTCACTCCTATAAAATAGCTCTCTGTAATGTTTAAGCTTTCTAACTTAAGTAAGTTGCCTTTAGAGTAAGTTGGCTACTAATATCTATATACAAACTTATATAATATATATAATACAAATATCTAATTTATATTAATTTCTCACCCATTTCTCATATCCCTACCTATAACATTTAAGCCAAGCAAGCCAAGTCAAGCAAGATGTCCTAAGGTAAATCCTATCCTAAGATTTAATTTTTCATCATTACATTGATTTAATACTAATATTATTATTAATAAAACTTTTATTATTATTATTATTATATTATTATTATTATTATTATTATTATTATTATTAAACTAATATAATTATTATTATTGTTATTACAAAATAATACATTATATCATCATAATACTTTATAACACAAATATAATACTTTAATTAACTAATATTGCTTAATTAAACATAATCAACAAATAAAATTAATT